GGCCAGGAAAGGGCTCCTCTGTCTCTGGCCACTGTTGGCTCCTGACCTCGGGCCTCCCATGGTGGTGACCTTTTTGCCTAAACCCATTGGCAGACACCTTCCCAGCCCAACTGCCACCAATGCCATCATGGCCAGAGCACAGCATCATATTGCCTTTGTCCCTGTGCACCCTAGCTTTTAGCGAGGAGTCTTGCAGCCATAAGAATGGACACCTGAGATCTGGCTTCTGCAAGAGCCTCCCTGCCCATCAACACCATTTTTCTGTGTCGTTGAGTCTGCGTGGTCCATTAATGCCTCTAAGATTTCCAGGCACAGCTAAGCCTTACACCTGCCCTCTGGCAAATGTCCTTCTGTCCTACAGCTCAGCCCAGGAGCCCCCCTTCTGGGAAGCCTGCCAGGCCTGTAAGAATCAGCTGTGAATTTCCTTTGCATCCTCAACGCCACTTCCGTCCCAGTGCATGCTGTATGACATTGCCATGGCTCGGCTTTTCCCCCTGAAACTGTTAATTCCCTCCAGGTCTTTTATGTCTGTCTCCCTGCCACCCAGCACACTGCCTGGCATAAAGTAAGCACCCAATAAATTTCAAATGGAGCATGTGTTACATTCCCTATAAAAACAGCAGCCGTGGCCTGCTCTGCCACCAGCCTGGGTGTCCTCCATGAGGATGTCTTCCGTTTTCAAAGTAGCAGACTCCTGACACCTTTATCGGGAGAAAAAGTACATTCTGGACATTGTATTGACGAGACTAAACATGTGTTCAACTTAAGAGGTCTCTGTACCTCGTGTGGTGGAAACATCTGTAAATCCCAGCACTCTGGAGACGGAGGCAAAATGGTCTGGAGTTGGAGGTTATCTCTGACTACATTGGAAGCTAGTCTTGGATATAGATGGCCTTGTCTCAAAAGAAAAGAAGGGGAAAGGGAAAAAGCAATAAAATTCAGCTCGTAGTAGTGACTTTTTAAGCAGTAAAATTTGAGCCACTGCGGTGAAGTGCCGGGGCCACAGACTTCTATCCTGTCCAGTTCCTTCACTTAATGTGGCGTTAAACAGAAGGGAAGCAGAACTCCCAAAAGCGCTGGGGAACCCCCCAAAGGGCCTGCTACTTTCCCTCCAAAACTGGGAGCAGACCAGCCCAGTGTCAGGAGGGGCAGGAGCAGACCTCCACCCCCCAGCACAAGGAAGGGCTAGGCTTTCAGGCACAGCCTGTTTCTGATCGCTGCACCCTCCTCTGCCTCCGCCCACCACCCAGTGTGGTTTGAGTTCCCTGCTGCTCCAATACATGAAATAAGAAGCTGCTTTTCAAACTCATTAATTAAAGCAGGCTCATGCAGTTGCTGCCAGGGAATAGCATCCGCCCACCTAAATGTCCCCTTGTATTCATGGTCCAAACTCAGACACACATTGCTAAGGTCTTTCTCCTTGGCAGTCACTGTGTGTGGTCACACACTTAGAAACGCCCTCACTCCTTGTCCTTATTTCCTAGCTACCAGTTGTTCATCTTTTGGGGAGGAAATTGTGGGGTGTGTCTGTGCTCATGTGTTGGGGGGGTGCTCACCCATGGAAGCCAGAGTTTGGAGAGGAGTGTCTTCTTGTTTTATCCTCTACCTTCCTTTTGAGACAGGACCTCTCACTGAACTTGAAGCTTGCCATTTTGCCTAGACTTCGTCCCCAGGGTCTTTCTGTCTGCACCTTCCCTGCACTAGGGTGCCAAGTGCACACCAACATGCCAATCTTTTTATGTGGGTCCCGGGGACCCAACCTCAAGTCCTCAGGCTTGCAGGATGAGCAGCTTCTCCAGCGAATGTCTCCTAAGTCCCCCTAGCAGGCATTTTTAAGGGGTTGCTGGAACCTAATGTGAACCTAATTAGAACTTTATGAGCTAAGCAACTGAGGCAGGAGCATTGCAAGATTGAGATCAGACTGTACTATGTAACAAACGTAAAGCCAGGAGGAACAGTTTGTTTGAGATCCTGGGTCTTAGCCGCCCTCGCTGTAAAAGGCAAGTAGAAATCTACCCACCAGATGTTGTGAGGATTGAGTAGAGCAAGGTCAACTCAGAGCTTGGGGAAGGCTCTGAAATACACAGGGCAGTTTGGAAGCAAGGGCGAGCGCTGCCCCTCCCCCACTCTCCTCTTCCCCTGTGCCCTGAGTAACCGGGTCATTGTGGACTTACTTCAGCATGAAATAGTCAATGAAATATTCAAGTGTAAAACCTAGAAGTAGCTGGCCAACCTCACAGAAGCACAAAGAACGCATTTGCACGCCTGAATTTGGCATTTGTGCACTTATCTCTGCCTGTGCCATCTACCTTCTGTCTTTGAATTCTGGTTAGAAGCAGCAGGCTGGGGGCATCTGGATCTTAGGAGCACGGCTGTCTCCTGGAAAGACCTCAGGTCTTAACCATCTGTCCTAAGATGAAGAATTCCAGAGAACTTCCTGGAAGCCCTTTAGCTACCTCCATCACTTTGCTGCGGATGTCCTGGGTTTTTGTTAGGCTGAAGAACTGAACCTTTTCCCAGGTGGACTCTTTACTGACCCAATCATGTATCATCTGCTTCTTGTCCTGGCATCAGCCCTGATGTCACCTGTTTCCCTTTGCTGTGCCCTCCACACCTTACTTCCCGTCTGCCACATCTGCTTCCCTTCTCATCCCACTCAGCACCACTGACTCCTTCCCGGAATATTCCAGGAAGTCTCTGGCGTCCAGTACCTTTGAGTGTGTTCCACTCAATGTCCTATCATGGGGTTATCTGTGAGAAAACATAGGGCGCCATGGCCCATTAGACCTGGAACTACTCTGCACTCCTCTGACACAATTGAAGTAAGAACGGAATTGACAACTAAACAATGAGCCGCTGTTTAACCTCGCTTTATTTTGGTGCATCCCTCACCACCCACACACGCTTCTTAGCCAGACTGCCCCTCTCCCAGGGAACCCAAATTTCATGGTGAGAACCTAGACCTATCCTGAGAACTCTGCCATATTCTGCAGGCTGGCTACCTCCCTTCGCTTCTAAAGCATATTTTCACCCAAATGAGGGTCATTTGTCACCCCCCCACAGTCACAGGCTGGGCAGCCTACAAAGGACACTGACATCCGAGAGCCACCATGCTCCGCCTGTGCTCTCTCATACTCGGTGAGAGTCTATCCCCAGCTGTCCCCATGGGGAAGAGAGTGGCTGTTGTAAGGTGTTGGACAAAGCTCTTTTCTGGGTGCTTCCTGAGACATTCTAGCATTTTGAACACTATGAGACTCTAATCCTAACTCCTCCACACTTCATAGAGAATAGTGTGAATAGTGAACACTCATGGGTCATGTGTTCAGGCCTCCTAGGGTGGGTGGCATCTGCTGCCTGCCCAGCTTTTCCTGCTCTGTATAAGGTGTTTCTCAGTTCCCTGTGACACACCCCTATGCTCTCCATGATGGTTATAGAGCAGAGAGACTTGACTGTGGGTGATGACCTTCTTAGCCTTGCCATGTTAGGTGGACCACCCCAAATGATGTGCCAGCCCTTGATGCAAGACGACCAACCAACTCTTGCCTCTGATTCTCACCTGTGAGGGTGTGGGCTTAGAGTCACCCAGGGGCAGGGACACTCTGCAGACAGACCACGAACTTAAAAGTTGGAAAGATCAGGGTCCTTACCAGGCCCGTGTCCTGCGGGACTGAGTCTTGGATCTTCCTGGTTCCTTTTCTGTGTGGTGGTAGGGTATAGGGTGTGCTGTTCATCTCTAGAAGCCATGGCATCCGCCTGGCATCACATTGGACCATGTGTCTTCTCTCCTCTCCTGTGGTGACTGGAATGAGAAATGTCCCCATAGGCTTCAGTATTTAGACACTTGGTCTCCAGTCGGTGGCGCTGTTTGGAAAGTTTCGAAGGCGCAGCTTGCCGGTGGAAGTGCGCCGCAGGAAATGGGCCTTGAGATTTATCAGTTTCCATCGCTCCCAGTCCTGTCCCTCCCCCGCCCACCACTCTTGTTATCGTGGATTAATAAGGATCGGGAAAAACAGACAGGCTGAATAGATGTTTATTCAGGGAGAAATAACAGAGACAGATGAACGCCAGCAGGTCCCTGGTCCCAAGGATGTCTGCCGATGCTCTCTGTCCCAGTCCAGCAAGCAAAAGAGCACTCTGGGCTCAGGGGGGGGGGGGAGGCTTCCCCGGACCTAGTTCCCCCGGGTCACATCTGCCCCTGTCCCCACCCCCAATGGGCGTGGTCAGTGCCACAGGTGCGGACAAAGTGAGTATCTCATTACAGCTTCTTCCTGCTTTTGGTTGAAGGTCTGACTCTCAGCTTCCTGTCCCTGCTGTTTGCCACACAGTTTCCCTCCATGATGGACTCAAACCCTCTGGAACCATAGCCCAAATAAACTCTCCTTCTCTATGGTTCCTGGGTTGTAATGTTTTGTCACAGCAATGGAAAAGATACCCGACAGAACTTTCCTGCCCCTCTTGTGGCTACCAGTCTACCATCCCTGAGGCATTGAAATCCTTGGGTTCCAGAAGAATGAGCATGAAGCTTCCCCCGACTCTACTGACCCACTGACAGCTAACCTGCACCATTCATAATTAGTGTTGTTGGATCCCCAGCCATGACACAAAACTATAATCTCAGTGCAAACGAGCTTTGGTCATCCCCACCCCATGGAAATAAAGGGTTAATGTCGAGTACAGATGCTGCCCCAGCCACCAACTGGCATCTAAACACACATGGGTGGAGTTAGATAATGTCTTCCATATGCTCTGGAGATTTAGTACCACACAGGGTAGCCTGAGAAGTCCCTGCCTGTCTGCAGAAACCAGGCAGGATGAGTCTGCCCCGAGCCTTGCTTACCTTGCCTACAAGGCAAAAACACAAGCCTTAGCTTGTGAGGGTGGCTGTGAGGGCCACCTGAGGAGAGCAGGGTGGCAGGCTGGTCTTTGTGCACAGAGGAGGAATGCTGCCCCAGCATCCACAGATGCTCGATGTTAAATGTTCCTTCTGGATTGCCTTGCAGAGGAGAGTACAGGATGTCATCAGCCCCATCGTGTTTGAAGCTGCCTACAGCCTGGGTGTGCACCAGACTGCTGAGGAGGAGCGGGAGCTGCCCGATCTGACACCCGTGCTTCGCTGGAAGAAGGGACAAAAGATCGCCCAGAAGAATCAGGTTAGAGCCTGCTCTGGCTTTGTTTGTCTCTGGGATAAAATGTCCTGGCAGAAAGCAACTTAGAGGAGCAAGGGTTGATTGTAGCCCTCGATTCTCGGTTACAGCGCATCATTGCAGATACATCCAGGAAGGAACTTAAAGCCACTAGTCATGTGACAGCCACCATGAACAGCAGAGAGAGGGGGGGGGGAGAGAGGGAGGGAGAGAGAGGGAGGGAGAGAATATACATGCATGCTCAGCACTCAGCTAGCTTTCTCTACTTACATACAGATACACAGACACACACTACACATACACACAGACACACACTGTATACACACACAGACACACATACATACCACACACACACACAGACAGAAACACACTATACACACAGATACACACACTACACACAGAGACAAACACATTACACACACACACACACACACTCTCTGAACGAGTTTTCCTTTTGTTTTAAGACATGAGCCTCCCTTTTAAAGCACAGGTGGGAAAGTGGCCTGCAAGCCTTGCTGGTCACTTAGACTCAGATCAGGGCACGAGGGAAATGAAAGTTAGAAGAGGTCAGGGGTGTCCAAGTAGGGCAGAGTGCAGGGCTAGCCTTAAGGTGATGTCGGAGAAACCAGGGAGAGAGGAGAAGGCAGTAAACGTTTCTATATTAAGAATTGGGCTGGAGAGATGGCTCAGGGGTTAAGAGCACTGACTGTTCTTCTAAAGGTCCTGAGTTCAATTCCCAGCAACCACATGGAGGCTCACAACAAGATCTGTAATGAGATCTGGTGCCCTCTTCTGGCTGGCAGGGCATCATGCAGGCAGAACACTACTTACATGATAAATACATCTTTTTTTTTTTTTTTTTTTTTTTTTTTTTTTTAATTCAGACACTCTGAGGGGCCGGAGAGATGGCTGGGTTGTTAAGAGCACTGGCTGCTGGGTCCCAGCACCTACACAGTGGCTCATAGCCACCTGTAACTCCTGTTCCAGGTTATCTGATGCCCTTTTCAACCTCCATAGGGACCAGGCACACAGGCGCAAACAGACATTCATGGCAAATAGTAATAAATCCCTAGTCCTAGCACCGCTCTCCTCTCTAAGGGGAACCCTGCTTCCCCTTGTATCATGGAGGTCAGTACTTGGTGTGTTAGGGTTCATCTCAGCCACCTTTGTGTTTGTGAAGCCTCAGTACTGACCAGGGAGACAGTTGCTAACCCTCGCCATGTCGCTGTCTCTGAGCACACTTTCCCCGCACCTAACCCTCATTCCTACAGCATCCAAGCACTGGAGAGCATCTTAAAACCTTTACGGCCGAGGACAGTCGGTGATCCGATCTGGGAAAGATTGGTATCATATGTCATTCTTGGTCGCCCCAGGTTCCTTAATTAGCAGGCGTCAGCCCAACAGTGGATTCATTGTGTCTGAAGAGTTGGATAAACCGTTTGAGGCATGCTTGTGAGCCGGTCTTCCCAGAGGAAGCAATACTTCCAGCATTTGAAGTGCACAGTAAGGCCTTCCACCTAAACGTGGTCTGCCCTTAGTGTGGGTTGGCAACCAAGAAAGACTGAGTTTAGAGACTACGTGGGCATGAAAGAGAAAGGCCAATTGAAATGAAAACAAATAAAATATTTGACTCAGAAGGCAAATGATTATTTAGGGTATAAAAAAGATGATACCTTTTTTTTTTTTTTTTTTTTTTTTTTTTTTGCATGGGGTCTTGTTGCATAGCCCAGACTGACCCTCAGACTTGTGTATAGTATAACCTAACCTTGAACTAGCAGTCTTCCTGCTTTAGCCTCTCATGTGCTGGGATTACAGATGGCTGTCACCACACCCTATTTGAGACTATAAAAGATCTCAGGGTGGAAGTGTTTAGTTCCCAGTGCCCATTCTGTGTGGCTCACACCTGTAACTCCAGCTCCAGGGAATCTATCCCCCTTTCCTGGCCTCTGAGAGCACCTGCAAATATGTGCACATACATGTACATATACACATATACATAAATAATAAAAAAATCTTAAACAGCAACGTGCCCGATAATGCCACAGCTTAAATATAAGGCAAATAGACTGGGATTTGGAGGGTGTAGGTGAGTGCAGAGGAGAAAGGGACCTGGATAGCAGACGATTCTCTGTAAGTTGAAGTCGCGTAGTCGTGGATCCAGCTTGGCCCCTGTAGAGGACATGTAGTGAAGACAGTGACCTGGGCCTACTGTGGAATCCCGAAGACAAGACATAAACACTCCCATAGGCTTTAGCCACCACCACCAAGCCACCATCAGAGCTACAGTAACAGTGTAAGACGCAGAAGTCACCAGGTTGACTGGGCAGATGTCAAAGACTATCTTCCTTTCCTAATCTCTTCATAGCTCTTTTAAGTTGGTAAGCCAAGAGAGACTGCAGAACCCAACGGAACAAAAACTAGCTGTTCATTATGTAAGATTGTAGAGGTCAGTAATGGAATACTAGCCTCAGTAGCCCTGGGGCCAGCCGCCCCAGCTGTTCCTGGGATCGTGTAAGAAAATTTGAAAGTAGAGATGATTCGGTGGTTAAAGGGCTTGCTAGGGAAGCATGAGAAGGGTCCCCAGAGCAAGCTGGCTGCAGAGAGTAGCCATATCAGCAAGCTCCGGGCTTGATTAAGACACGCTGCCCCAGTGAATAAGACAGAAGAGCAATTGAGGGTGGCTGTCCAGGTCAGCATTGAGCCTCCACATGCAAGCATCCCTGCCCACCGCACACGTGAGTGCCTGCACGCATGAAAATTAACACTGATAAAGGAAAAGAAAGCTCTTGGACCGGCCTAGACACACTAAATCAGAGATGGGCTAGCACATGTTTTAATAAGCTGACCACTGGTCCTGACACAGCTAGTCTGGGAGCCCTAGCGGGAAAAGAACGGAGTAGAAGTTTGCCAGGGAGATGGAATGGAGCAGGGAGGGAGCCATGGCGATATCAACCCTTATCTGTGTGTGGCAGGAATTCCGTGGGATAATGCATTAATCTGGTAAACTAAGCCGTCACCTCAATATGCTTTCTAAAGACAAGAAATAGTCACCAAGATGGAGACCAACAGATGAGATGTGGATAGTGACGCTTTCCCCTTCAGGGACACTCATAATGGGTGGATGTGGTAGCACAGGCAGGGTTACACTTTTTTCAATCGCGTCATTCTGTGGTTGAAATTAAAAGAAAAGAAAAATATTGTTCTTAGATGGGAAGGGTTATCCAAGAGCCCGCGACTCTTTCTAGGGAAGCAGTTCTTACTTATTCTCCTTTGCCTGATTAGGAAAAACAACAAAATTGAGTCGGCTTAATGATCTCCACCATCTCTCCATGTGTCTCCCAGATGTTGGCCTGCTCACGGTTCTGTTCAAAGAGAACGATGAGCTGCTAGTAGGGGCCATTCCAGGCAGTAGAGCTGACGTTAGCCAGAACTCAGGAACCATCTCTGTCACCACGAGCTCAGATAATATACAAACAGTAAACAGTTCCCTCCTCCTCTGCCCGTCCTCCACGCTAACCCCCTCCTCCCAGGCCTGGCCATGTGGCCTGTCACCTAGCCCGTGTCCCTGAATCACCCTGCCCTGGCTTTCCTCTTATTGTCCTGGGATCCTGCAAGACATTGCCCCTGTTCTTCAACACTGTCCAGGGTCACCCACGTCCTCAAACCTATCGGGCTCTTCCGGCCTTGGCCCTGCTGACCCCTCTTCTGTAAAGGTTCCCACCCTGCTCATCTCTCAAGGCCGGCCTTTATGGTTGAGGTTTCAGCCCGAATGCTGCTACCTCAGAGAACCATCTCTCAGCTTCCCTCTCCCACACTGGGGTAGAGCCCAGTGAACACAGATATCTGTCTTCTCACATTAGCTATTAATTCCCCAGCACCTACCCCAAAGTCTGGCCTGGTGTCTCCATTAAAAGAGCCCTTGTAAAGGAACAAAAGCCGACGTCATTCTCAAGGCTGTTAAATTGAATGGGACATGCTGCGGGCTCCCTCTGGGAGTCCCTCCTTGGCCAGGGTATGCCATGTGGTTCACAGTGACTCCTACCATGGATTGTGTGTGTGTGTGTGTGTGTGTGTGTGTGTGTGCTTTTGAGTCTGTTTTTAAAACATCACGTAGAGGGAATGCAGGTGGTAAAAGAGGTGTTGGCTGTCTTATGTTGTTTCTCTCTGGCATTTTGGCATAGCATTGTGAAGGCGAGTGATGCAGAAAGAGATCAACACCGGGGTTGGTAGAGCTTGGTAGATAGAGTGCTTTCTTAGAATGTATGAGGCCCTGGGTTCACAAGCGTTCCTAAGCCAAGAGTAGTGGGTGCACGCCTATAATCCCAGCCCTCAGAGGGTGGAGACTGGAGGATCAGAAGTTCAAGGTCATCTCTAGCTACACGGGAAGTTCAAGGCCAGGCTGAGTTAGAGAAGAACCTGTTAAAAAAAATAATAATAAAATAAAAAGCAAGGTCATGTGTGGTCATGCACACCTGTCATCTCAACAATCATGGTTTTTTTTCCTGAGGTCAAAGCCAGCCTGCTCTACATAGAGTTCAGGGTCAGTTCAGGCTCCAAAGCCAGACCAGCAAAAGCAAAAGCAAGCAGCTTGTGTTTCCTCCATCTAGACGTAGCTGAAATTCCTGAAACTGCTCTGTACTCTTACAACAAGCCCCACAAAAAGCTGTGTTGGATTTTATTGAAATAAAATAAAAACAGAATTTGAATGGAAAAACCTACTCTCAGGTTATGGCAATTTTTTTAAAAAAATACTAAATACCATGCCAGGTGTGGTGGCTTGAATAAGAATGGCCCCCGATAGGTTTGTATAATTGAATGCTTAATCATCAGGAAGTAGCACTACTTGAGAAGGATTGGGAGGTGTGGCCTTGTTTGATGGGTGTGGCCTTGTTAGAGAAGGTGTGGCCTTGTTCGGTGGGTGGGGCCTTGTTAGAGAAAGTGTGGTCTTGTTTGGTGGGTGTGGCCTTGTTAGAGGAGGTGTGGTCTTGTTCGATGGGTGTGGCCTT